AGGAAACGATCGGACGCATGGGGCTGGAGTCTGAGGGGAGGAAGACTTTTTTAATCAAAGACATTTTTATTTGTATATTTTTGGCAAGAACGACATCAAACTGTGAATCACATCGAGTAAGTTCATCTCACGTTAGGGCTGTGAACAGTTAATCAATCAATCGATCAACTTTTTTGTAGAGCGCCTTTCCCACACAAGGCAAAACTAAGCACTAAACATTGAAATCTATGTATACCTAAAGAAATATGATTAAAAACTAAGATCACAGGAAATAGTAAAAAATAGAGTGAAATCACACAAGTTAAAAAAATCACCTATAAAAAAATCACCCACAAGATTAAAATCATAAAAAGCCACAGTTAATTTAAAGGAGTAAAGATAAAATCGTTCTAATCGCATCTGGTTATTTAAAGAGTTATCGATTCATTTAGTAATTGATTTTTTGACTTAAACATGCTGAGACAAGGTTTTATGACTCAGATAGTTAAAAAAAAATAGAGAATTAAGTAATGATGTGTGAGTATTTTCAATCAAACAAGCCAATGTTTTCCTGAGGCTTTCGGGATCTAAAAACTAAAAAGAATTATCGGCCAATTAATCGATTATCAAAATAATGGTAGACTACAGCCCTAGCCAGGCAGTAGTTTGTAGTAAGGCAGAACAATTGTAAAGAAATCTCTGATTGCAATTTTTCAGAGTAACCATTGCGATTCCGTTTGCAATTTCTGTTATGAAGGTAAAATCATGTTCCAAATGCTTTCAAAGAATTCACATTTGAGAAAAAACTGAATCGAGACAGAGCCAGATTTGTATAACATGGAACAAGATATTTTTTTCTATTTGTAAAGGACAGGTTGTCTGTAATGTAAATAATTTCAGTCATTGCTATTTACGGCCACTCAAATTTCGATTCCATTGCGATTAGTCATGCAGACCTACATTGTAGCACTTAAGGAATTGACTTGTACTGTTTTTGATACTTTTGCATACCACTGCCATGAATGTACTGTATTATTGTAAAGTTCTACTACTACAGTATATGTTTTTTTGTATTTTTCAGACCTGTTTTATGCATTTGTTTTATGTACTGATTCATAGCGGTCAAGAATCCTTTCAAGCCTTGTAATTAAGCTACAGGAAAGAACCACATTGAAAGATAACATTGTAGAAATAACACAATCAGAGCGGCCACATACACTTTAGTACCTTTAAGACACAATAAGACACAACAGGGCTGAGCATTATAATGAAGTTGTTAGTGTGTGTTGGATTTATTGGTATAGGTTTTTTAATGGATTTAAGGCATTCCACATGTGAGCATCAATCAAAGCTCAGACATTGTATTAGGAAAAAGTTAAATGGAACAAGAGTTTATAAAAAAGTTTACACTGTATTTGTTGATAAGGCTTGTAATCGAAAGTGGTCATTTAATGTTCGCTTAACACTATGACTTTCCCGATTATGAAAGTACATCCCAGAGCATCCTCCTGTGGACTCACCACCTGCAGAGGGTCAGTGAGGGGCTGGTGCTATGAGACTTGGGTGGCATCTCTGACTGCCACCCCCCTGACCCAGAAATGGATTAAAGGGAAGAAGATGGATGGATGGATGGATCCCAGAGCAGTCATTATGACGGTTACCATTTGAAAGGATTTTTCCCCCCAAATTTGTTTTCTCTTAAATAGATGTGAAAAGTGGTTAATATAACTGAAATACAGCCAAACAAAATACTCTGAGCCAGTCTAGGGTCGAGATGATGTCATAAGCATAACGACATAGAAATAAAGTGAATATAGATGCGGAAAAAAGTCCAAAGTTATGAAGACCAAAAACGTACTTCCAAAACAAAAAGCCGTCAAATTGACTGCTCTGGGAGTTCTGGTGTTAATACGAACCCGTGCATTTAAATTGAATGTTAAAAGCGTTCAACACTGAGTGCACATAAGATTGCGCATTAACTGGTGCTTTCCCACGTGTTCAGGTTTCGGGAATAGAACTGGACCAACAAGACTGTACATTATGATTTCAATCAGAGCTAAGACATGTTCGGTTTGACTTTCCACCCGATGCTGATGTGTTAAGTCCCATGATATGTTCATGGGACTTAACACATGAACATATCATGGGGTATTTCTACTGATCCTGGTTACTACGGTAACTCAACCCTACAGCAGTTTGATTATCGTGTTTTTTTTTTACTTTTTTCTTTCGCTGTAAACACCGGTGGGCATTTCACTTGTAATTCATTGTAATGACTGTACCATATGTAAATGTGTATGTTTTGCTATTTTTACATAAACTATACATTATGACATTATACCCCTATTACTTGTATTCCAGGTCTGGGCAATTATTATCTCCAGGGGGATATCGGACATATTGTGGGGCTCCGGACTACTTTTCACATGATTACAATTGAACTTAATTTTCCTTGACAGCTACATCACAAACCAAAATACATAATTATATTTCCATCAAATAAATGTATTTATTTGGTAAACATAAATATTCAAAAAAAGGAAGGACAGGGGAACATGGAGCCAAGATATTTTTGATGTGTGGCCAGGTTTGGGTTAATTGATCTATACTAAAGTCTTATTTTTTTGCAATGTAGTAGAGGAAGTGTTGAAAGAAAGACAAAAAAAAAATCATAGAATTGTGGTGTTATTTCTCACACTAATCGTAACACTAACATTTGAAATTGTGACATCTTTAAATTGGGTCAATGTTTACTCCACATACGAAGGGAACGGGAAGGCGGCTGATCTAGATGTAAATGTGTGACTATGTGTTTGTGTGTGCGTGTGTGTGTGTGTGTGTGTGTGTGTATGTATGCTGTGTGTTGAAAAGGTGGAAATGATAAAGTTAACCACATGCAGCTCATGGGGCCAGTGTGAGTGCAGAGAGGCTCCTGCACTGGGCTGATCTGTCACGGTTCTTCCTCCTCCAAACCACCACCGGACCAGAGATGCCAGTCACACACAACGCTACTTCCTGCAGCTCCCAAAGACAACAATAGTCATAACAGCCGTCACAGAAACGCTGGGCAAGAAATAAAAAAACATCCATAATATCCATTTCAAGTGAACCGTTATCATATGGTCCAGTGAAAGTGGCCCAAAGACAGATTCATTTGTAATAGCACAGTTGGGTCCCAATAGTATCCAATATGTCTGGTGTACTCAGTCTTTCATTTATCACCTAAAACAGTGTTTTTCAACCAGTGTGCCTTGATATTTTGATTTGTGTGCCTTTGGAAATGAGAAAGGCTTTGCTTTGTTAATAACGGCTGCAGTTTCATGTTTATATCCGTTTCAGCTGGTGGTTTTCCATGGGATTGGTTTCAATGAAAAACCCTTATGTACCATCATATCTAAATATTTGGAGTATCCAGAGTACTCCCAAATCTATGGCGCATTCACATCTGTTTCATTTTTATTGCACCAATTCTGGTTCACTAAAGAGAAAAAACAACTTTGTTTGTGGATGTAAAACCAAAAGTAGAACCAACAGTGTCCAATAGTCGCTAAATAATAATAATAATAATAATAATAATAATAATAATAATAATAATGATAATAATAATAATGATAATAATAATAATAATAATAATAATACATGATAATAACAATAATAATAATAATAATAATGATAATAATACATTGGTTTAATAAAGCGCTTTTCAGGACACTCAAAGATGCTTCACATGTCATTATTCTTTCAATCCATACACAGTGGTGATAAATTACTATTGCCACAGCTGCCCTGAGGCACACTGACAGAAACGAGGCAACCAGTTTGTTCACACCAGACTCATTCTAGGCAATGGGGGTGAAGTGTCTTGCCTAAGGACACGTTGTCAGTTTGGCATATTACAGCCGCAGCCACTCCACTGTGGATCCTGGTCTCTCATCACAGTACTGACCAGGCCCTGTCCTGCTTAGCTTCAGAGATCTGACTGGATCCGGCTTTCACATACAAGTAAATCCGACGAGGTCTAGTTTAAGTGTGTGAATGTAGCTTAAGGACTTTTGTGTGTCTAACCACCAGAAAGCCTCTAGTACCACAGCTTGAGAATCACCGGCCTTCTCCATACGTCATGTAGAAGGACTTATGAGCGTGTCTTTGTCCTGACGTGCACTGCAGACCTAGGGCGGATGAACACAACACGTTTCAACACTTGTGGTGAAGGGATGATCCATAACCTCAGTCTGATGGGGCCGAGAAAGGAAAGTTAAAAATGATACACATTTTGTTTTTTTTAAATAATATCTGCATTTGACACATTTTTCAATTCCACTCAAGCAACGTAGTACGGCCACCGAACATGAATGACCAAAATACTGTATGCAATGCGCCATGTGGGCTTCATAATAAATTACGGTTGGCAATTGCGATTTATTAATTACATTTTTTGATACAAGATTACATGGATAAAGGTACGCTATATGTTACTTTTCCGTTGTCGCAACTGCTTTTTTATCGCGTGAAGCCTTTCTGAATCTTTCTATATGTTTTTTGCCTGAAAATGTCAACAGAATTGTGTTAAATTTCCCATCTACATTTGAAGCAAGCAGGTAACTTCACTAGCCTAAGTCAGAGGTCCTGTCTGCGGAGAGGAGCGTGAATCCATTGTAAGAATTTGAGTTTTTGAACAGTAAAAACATCTGAAATTCTATCTGGTACACGTTTTATATCATACTCATCATCCCAAGCAATTTAAGTAACACGGCAGGTAGCAGACCCCAACAGAAAAGCTAGAAAATATACCTTTAAATTAACTGTGTGGTTTTTTCTCATATTTTTGATGTGTAAACAACATATTGTGAGTGTTATATAGCCCCCTCTCTCTCTCTCTTCCTTATTTGGTGACAAGTTGCCGAGTTTCCTGCCCATGTGTGAACTGTCGTTTTGGGTCATATCTGATACCACTGCCCCTCACTGCAACCACACATGCTCACTGTTATTGTTGTCGTGATAACGTTCCCAGAGTCGTGATCATGCACTGGCTCTGCAGGCGTGTCACTCTCTGGGCCCTTATGGTCACTGCCTCCGGGACCAGGGGTCAGAAGACGGCAGGACTCCCTCTGACTCTGGAAGGTAGGAATTTTAGGGTTTAAAAGTTGCTATTTTGTATGATCTTCTGTATGGTCAATTTACATGTTAGAGTTAGAAAGATTTTATATTCAGCTATTTGAGTATGTATCAATCAATCAAGTTTATTTCATGCAGTGCAACCTAAAGTGCACAGACATAAAATAAGGTTAAAAAAAATTACAGAAAATACAAAAAATATGAAGAAAGAAAAGAAACTTTTCAGACTGAATTTAAACTATATAAAACGTTTTTATATAAGACTCAAAATTTTGGAATAATCTTGTAATGGATTTAAAGCTGGGGTACCTAACTTTCCAACCAAAGAAAAACAGACATTTAATATCATTAATTTGACTAAATCTTGGCTCTGATTCTGATTCTTGACATCTGTCTGTTGTTTCGGACAGAAAAGTGAAAAAGAGAGGACCACCTTCTCTCAGAAAATCAGCTTTCAGCTCAAAGAGTCAAAGAGTGACAAACAGGGTTCTTTCTTCCATGATTTATGATGAAATAAAGACTGATTTGATCACAATAGCTTATTTTCATTTTGACTGGGACAAACAATATGTATTATTATTAATGACGAATAATAATAAGTTAAGTCCCCCAGCTTTAGACACTTACTTAGACAGACTTTATTAATCCACAGGGGAAATTGCGTTGTCACAGTATAGCTTGCATAATATTCCACAAAATATAACAATGAAGTAACAACCTGAAAATGAGAATAATAAACAATAAGATACTATTGTGAGAATAGAATAATCTGGATATAGGTACTCAGGAATATACATATCTATGAATATGACACACATTTATAATTACATTTAACACATTTTTCAAGGTTTCAAATCATTGCACTTTTCTGTTTTTTTTTTTATTCTACAGATAGTTTGTTATTGAACGATGAACCCAGCCCTAAATGCCGAACTCTGATGCAAGATGGAACTGTAAAGGATTTCACTTGTTTCTTTAAGACGGCAGATAACTCGTCTTATGACTTCTACTACACCACAGACAAGTACACGTTTATATTTGCAATCCTTCTGTATTTGTAACTTTAAAATGGCATGTTTTGGCTGAGTCTTCTCTATGCGCACCAGTCCTCCGCGGAGAACAAAGTGTGAGATGTGGCACCGGACGGCTGAGGACAAGAGCTTTCTCCACTTCTGCACTTTCCCACAGTCGGATATTTTCTGGTACGTGGAGATCCTTCTGGAAGTCATCCACCGGAGCAGGAATGACAGTCTGTTCATGCGGACGGTCACAGTGGAAGACAACAGTATGTTTCATGTTATTTTCTCATCGGATTAGATTGGATTAGATTAGATTTAGAGACAGGCTTTCTCTATTTCAAGGTGCACTGTGTAACTTGTTGATTTCTCCACCTGCGCAGCTTAGGAATTATATTAAAGCTGTTGTACCTAACGTGTTCACCAAACGAATACATTATGCTTGTCCCAATAGAGCATGGGTGTCCAAGTCGAGGCCCGGAAGCCAGATCCGGCCCAAAAATGAATGATCTTGGTCCCCGGGAGGATATTTGATTAGTATTAGAACAGGCCCATACAGAGCCTAAGGAAAATATATATTAAGTGTGTTTTCTCTTTGAAGGAAGTTTGTTTTTGTCTGTGAGCCTACTGAAAACTTTTGACTTGAAATGACAGAGCCGTACAAAAATATTGGATATTTCATTTAATCATTAAATACAATACGGTTCAATAGGTTTTATGCTGTAATTTTAATGTTTAATAAACATTGAATCAATCTGGCCCTTGGCTTGTAGCAAATTTGGTAAATTTGACCCTCTGATGTAATTGACATAGAAATAAGATTATTGAAGTAAAATTCTTTGGCAAAATCAGACCACATAATGCAGTATTCATCTCATTAGTAAACATATATTTTGCATACTTCTGAAAAAAGATCCCTGTGAGTTACTATTTGACATTTTGGACTTAGAGCTATGACTGGTTCTCTCTTTTTACCTCTCAGGCTGAAAAAACGGACGCAAAAAAACTAGAAAATCAGCTGTTTGTGAGCGAGGAAGTAAAGTTACACGCATTTCTTATTACTTAAATCTTTTGTCCCTTGAATTTAGGTACCCAAGCTTTAAGCCATACAGCGAATACATCCTCATTTTACAGAGGAGAAAAGAGTCAAGAAAAGGTGGAAGACTTTAACTTTTGTTTCTTTTTTTTCTTTTTTTTTTATTGCAGACAAACACATATACAGAGAAAAAAATAGAAACAAAGAAAAGGACTAGTTAAGATACATTGTAGACAGAGATTACAAACAATATGTAGTTGGAGATACAGGGGGCCAAAGAAGAAACCCAGAAGGGCACATAGGAAGGGGACTATACTATGATGTTTCTATACATACAGTCTATGGTCTATACCCACACATACACAGCTTTCGCTTACCCTGACTTGTGTATTATCGTTATATGCACATATGCACATATTATTCATGTTATTATTATATTTATCTACTTATTCATTCTTTTTTTTTTATTTTTTATTATTACTATTAATTTTATTTTATTATTTTTATTTTATTTTAATTTGATTATTTATTTTTCCTTCTTCTCCCCCTAAATCAGTCTAAATCTATGTGATGCATTAAAAAAAAAAGAGCCTGGGCATGGTAACCTCCCCTCCTGCGGGGCCCCCGGAAGACAGCGGAGCGCAGGACACTGGTACAGTAGATGTCAGCCTTTATCCGCGCACCGGGTTGGCACAGACGGGCATAGTCATGATATTACCGTGTCAATGTCTATAACCCATACACACACACACACACATGCACGCGCACACACGCACGCACACATATGTAAATAATAATAATAATCATAATAATAACAACAACAGCAACAATACAATACATTGCTATTAGTGTAAGCAATAATTCTAGGAAGGTGTTTTCTGTGTCTTGAGGTGCGGTGGTCCGAGGTTATTTATGAATAGAGTCCATGATTTAGTGAAGGCCGCCATATGCTTCTGCTTCTCTGCTGTTTGTTTTTCTAATAAAATATGGTCTCTGAGTATGTTGGTCCAGTGGTTGATATTGCAAGTGTTTTGTTTTTCCAGTTTGGTATATAACTTCTTTTTGTTTTTCTATTTGTGTGATATCTCTAGAAGACACAGTAATGGATTTAAGGGATTCCACTCAATATGGAGGAGAGTTTATCTGTTATTGCAATCCAGAGTGCTTGTACCGGGGGACAGTTCCAAGTGGCATGTAAGTACGTGTCTGTACTATCCTGATTGCAATGTGTGCAAATGTCTGTGTCTACTAATTTCATTTTATTCAGCCGGTTCTGTGTCAGGTGATATCGAGGAATGGTTTTATATTGGGTTAGCTGAATGTTAGTGTTTGTGGTGAGGAAAATGTTTCTACAAATGTTGTTCCAGAAGCAGAGATCAGGAGAGAAGTTCAAATCTTGCTGCCATTTTTCTGCTGGTAGTGTTAACTGAGGGTTTATTGACGAGATTAACTTGTATATTTTAGAGGTGATCTTTTTTGAACTTTTTATATTCAGAATTTTATCGGTTAGTGTTGAGGGTTGTAATGCATTTTCTGATAGTTTAGTTTTATTCTTAATTAAGCCTTTGAGTTGGTGGTATTGGAGGTATTGCTCTCTCCCAATCCCGTACTTCTGAATGAGTGTGTTGAATGCTATGAATGTATGGTTTTCAAAGAGATGTTAAAGGTGAGAAATGCCCTTTTCATGCCACAGTGGAAAATAAATGGGTGAGTTTTGCAATTGAAAGTCGGGGTTGTGCCAGATAGGGGTGTGTTTACATGGTGATAGTAGAGAGTTTGTGATCTTGTTAACTTTCCACCAGGCTGTCAGAGTCGTCGAGATTGTGAGAGATTTGAAATATGGGAGTTTTTTTATTGATTCTGGTAAAAAAGGGAGATCTGGCATTGGTCTTGTTCTAATTGAATCCATTGCTTGTTATGGTTTTTGTAATAAATCCAAATGTATAGATATTGTAGTTAAGTGGCATAAAAATAGCGAATAAAGTTTGGGGCTTCAAGTCTACCCTGTATTTTTCCGTTTTGTAGTGTTGCAAGAGATATCCGTGGTCTTTCATTTCTCCAGTAGAACTGTGTTGTAATAGAGTTTAATGATTTAAACCAGTTAGCAGTGGGTGTGATGGGGATCATTGTAAATAGGTATGTGATTTGGGGTAGAATTTTAATTTTGACTGTGTCAATACGGCCTAATAATGACAATGGGAGGTTATTCCAGCATTTTAAAGAGTCTTCAATTTTTTTAAGTAGTGGGGTGTAATTAAGGTTGAAGAGCTCTGACAGTCTGGAGGAGATTGTGATTCCCAGGTATTTGATATTGTTTGCCTGAAGGGAGGGAAATGATTTTTGAGTTGCAGAATCCCATGCATCTTTGGTTACTGGTAGTATGGTTGATTTAGTCCAGTGTATTGTGTAATTCGAAATAGATTAAAACTTTTTGATTGTATTAAATGTTTCTTGCAGTGAAGTACGTGGGTGTTGCAAATATAATAATAAGTCGTCTGCATAAAGGCTGATTTTGTATTCAGTGTTTCCTTGTTTGATCCCTTGAATTTCATTATTACTCCGTAAAACTGTTGCTAAAGGTTCAATGAATAAGGCAAAGAGGGATGGAGAGAGTGGGCAACCCTGCCGGGTTCCTTGGTGCAACGTGAAGTTAGGTGAGGTAATGCCGTTGGTGGTGACTGTGGCTCTAGGTGAGGAGTAAAGTGTCTGTCTCCATTGGACGAACGACTCTCCAAAACCAAATTTCTGTAACGTATTAATGAGGAATTTCCAGTTGACCTTGTCAAATGCCTTTTCAGCATCTAGTGAGAGAATAATGTTTTTATTTTGTTGTTTTTGTTGAGCATTATGGACTATATTGAAGAGTTTCCGCAGATTGTCTGATGCGTGTCTGTTTTTGATGAATCCGGTTTGGTCTGGGTGGATGAAGACTTTAACTTAAATGTTTGTTTTTCTTGTTGCAGTTCTTCCAGTGCTTCCCAAACACATTTCCATGAAGCAAAATGAAAACATTGGAGAGCTGGAGGTTTCATGGCAGGTCCAATGTGGGTTTAATTTGTACAACAAGATTAGATTCTCGTCCAAATCCATGAAGGAGAAAATAAAACAGGTAAATGCCAACTTATAGCTTTGTGCTTTATTGAGAAATTTACTTTTTGGCGAGAAAATTGGGGAAATGCAATATTTTTATTGGGGTCATATTGGATAAGTGTGAGGTCTCATTTGCATTTGGAAAACTTGTAAGCCTAGTAAGCATGGGACGTTTCACAAAACATTTATTTTATTGCTAAGCCTTTATTACACTGCAACACATGATCAATTTAGTGGTTTTTATCTTCTCCTGACTGTCTTAAAACACGATTCCCCAATGAGACAAAGCCCTTTAGTCTTAAATCAAGAACTGTTGCTTAATTTCCTCATTCCAACAGAGCCATCTTTTGAAAACAAGATCATTTTGCTCATTGTCCCATTGGCAAATCTTGTTTTAAGGCAGTCAATCTTATTTAGAAGCATTTAGCAAAACTTGAGCAATTTTTGACTTGTTTTTTATCACTTTTTGCAGTGTAGTACCCACAGTGGAACTAATTTATCATCATCATCATTTCTTCAGACTATTCAGACTCTAGGTCCAGATAAAGGCTTCATTTATTGATTGACAGAGTTGATGACTTTATCAATTTGCTTTACAAATTATCAGCATTCTTGAATGAATGAATATTTTTTTTCGAGCCATGGCAAACTAGAACAAAGAACAACAACAACAACAAAATAGAAAAAGAAACAATACAGGATAATATACAAATTTGCAGTATTTTTTGGTTTTATTAACAAAAATGCAGCTTGAAAAGGAGTGGGAGGAAGTCAAGACTTTTAAAATTCAAACCCCGTTTATTATTCTAAATCTTTTATTATTCTTAGCTGAATTCTTGCGCTGCGCAAATAAAATGGATCACATCATGTGTTAGAACTTATGGATGTTCTTTGGAATAGGGTCAAAACAAAGTGAGTGAGACTTTGGCGGGTCTCGTGCCCGGAGAAGAAGTCAGACTTCAGGTGTCGGTCCGGTGCTCTCCCAACCGAAGCACGGGACACTGGAGCCACTGGTCAGCGGAGGTCCGGGCTGTGGTCCCTCAGTCTGCAGGTCTAATACTAATCATATCATTCTGACACCACTCGAGTGCAAATATAAACACATGTTATTTTACAGATGACATTTCACTGAAGTGCTACACAAAGGACTTGGAGAACATCACATGTCAGTGGGACGGGAGCAAATACAACATCGACTCTGACTACAAACTATTCTACAAAAGTGAATTTAGGTGAGTCAACAATCAGCAATGATAATGATAATCTAATCAAAAATAAAAATGAAATTCCGTACTGTAATACGGTACGGAATGTATACAGTGTGTATTCATACTGTAGATGATCGATTTATTTGTTTATTAGACTTAATTAAGGACTCATGAGAGCACAGGATTCATAGCTAAGAATAATGAAATAAATGAAAAAGAAAGAAAAAAAACCTGAAACTAAATTAGAATGTTATTAAAATGTGTTTTTTGCACGCCTTCATATCTATGTTTTATTAATTTTTTTCTTGTCCGCACCATTTACCAAAGAAAGTTCCTGGTGTACTGCTCCCAGTTACTTAATTTCAATACACATGAATATAGTGTAAAGAACTATAATGATATAGTAATCTGTCAAACCACCAGTTTATGTTATTTACTTCCGTTTTGTCTTTTTCCATTCAGTCAAGGTTGGACAAACTGGACTGAATGCTCTCCTGATACCAATGGGACCGGCGGCCATTGTGGTTTCCATGGCAACATGCAGGACAAAATCAGGGTGAAGCTGAGCAGTCCTCTGGCTCCACTCAGTCAAACTTTCTATGGAGAAAACTTCCAACTCAACAACATTAGTAAGACTCATCACCACAATTACTGTAGTTTATGAAAATAAGATTATTATTATTATTATTATTCTGATTTCCAGTCAAAACCCCAGCTCCAAGTCACCTAAAGCAAAATGGAACTGACCCGTTTTGTGTCGTCTGGGAGTCCCCGCTCCCTGCTCTGTCGTCCCATCTGCAGTATGAGGCCAGCTACAAACTTTCATCAGACAAACAATGGATGGTAAACACATTTATTGCAGTAACCTAGGAAAAATGAGTGGGGCAAAATGAGCACAAAGAGTGCATTACCACTAGATGGTGGTATTGTCACATGACACAGCATAAGCATAAGAAAAGACTGCTATATACAAGGTGGAAATAACCCACTATTATAGAGCTTTCGACAATGAGAAACAAGTAATGTTGATTATAATAAAACCTTAATAACGTGACTCACAGTACAATATAGTAATACAATTGAGCCATGTAATAGAAATACAATGTGGAGAATATATAGCATTAAATAATATAAATTATTATTTTTCCAATCATCCAGACAATGTCTCCCGTGGGCCCAGAGACAGCAGTGTGCTTGAAGGTGTCATGGAGCAGTCAGGTCAAAGTGAAAGTGAGGGCCAAGCCTCAGAGTGCAGTGTACTCAGGCCACTGGAGTGAGTGGTCAGATGTGCTCACTGCAGAGGCCCCAGGTATCATTGTAATAGTACCTGTAATACTATCATTAACCATACAGCAACACTATTGTAATTATTTTTCTTTTGAATTTTACAGCTCCATCTCATCTCATGTTGCTTATTCAGTGCAGTCCCACATTGCTCATAGTCTTTGCAGTAATCTTCATTTTATTGTTTTACAAGTATTTCAAGTAAGTACATTCAACATAAATCCCAATACACTGTTTCTTTCTTTAAATAAGTAAAATAAAGAATTATTGCTACAGTATCTGCGCTAAAAAAATATTTTTCCACAGTAAGCTGAAGCATTATATTTGGCCACCTCTTCCCAACCTCGACAAAGTCCTTCAAGAATATCTGTCGGATATGAAACTGCACAAATTGGTATGACTGATTTAATAAATGAATGGAACTTATTGAAAGAGGAGGGCATTTTAGATGCTTTGATTCCACTAAAGTGTAAATAAGACGACCAAAAAAGTCTGGATGAATTATACTGCAAATGACACCAATATGTGCTGTTATTGGCTCAGTTGGTAGAGCATTGGCCTTTGAGCCGGGAGATTGTGGGTTTCGAGCATGTTTCGAGCCCACCACAAGACCTTCTCCACCAACACCCACTGATGTCTGCTGTCATTGTGTCCTTGGGCAAGACACTTTACTCCACTTTGCTCACAAGAAGCCCATAATTGTACGCTGCATGCCTTGATGTGTATGTGTTTATGTGTATTCATCAAAACTGAAATGTTCTCTCAGTATAGGAATATCTTATCTTCTTACCAGGATTCTCCAATGACAACCAAGCAGCTCTACGCAGAACCCTCCATCGTCGAGGTCCTGTCCACAGACTCTGACTCTGAGCTGGAGGAAAATCCACAGATCTGCACTGGCCTCCTCTCCTCTTCAGAGACATCCCATTCCAACGTGGGACAAGAGGACAGCAGCACTGAGACTGGGACCGGACTCTTCCCGGACTATGTGGCCCTCAGCAGAGACACTGTCATTCTATGCTCCAAACAGAACAGTTATATCTACAGAGACGATTTAAATGAGGAAATACAGGAAGTTGAAGATCCACAAAGCCCGGAGCATGATGCCTTACCTCGGGAGGACGTCTTAGGATTGTCAAACTTCTTGAATCATTCTTATCTCCTCTTGGATGCACACAGTCTGAACAGGAAAGATCGTGTGCAGAGAGGACATGGGAATCTTTACACAAACATGCCATGTAATTAGACCTGCCAGGTTTAAAGTCTCACACAGGTGAAGAATGACCAGTGCGGTTCATTCAGTAAACATGTGTTGGTACAAAATGCAAGACCTTCATAGTGTGTACATATATTTTGTGAGTTCAATCTGGAGTAAATATTCAGTTGTTTTAAATATTACTCAACTAATAATTAAATACTGTAAATCCGGACTGTACAGCTTTTTCCGCCTCACTTTGAACGGTGCGGCTTATACTCAGGTGCGGCTTCTACTTCAATTCTGTTGGTTTTCTCGATCTACAAAAAAGATGAGTAGTTCACAGAGGTACAATTTGTGTGAGTACTACAAAGAAAAAGTATGATAATTACAATTAGTATTATCAAGCGGATTGAAGCAAATCTTTGTGTAAATATCTCATAATTAATAGTTTTTGGTTCTCTGTACAGACATGAAAGTGAAAGAGTGTAGTAGATGTTGCTCCTTATCTTTCTGCTTCACAATGGAAGAGTAAGAACAGCCGGTGACTCACTTCTTACAGTAATAAGAACACAATGAAAGTGTTTGAGCTACTTTGTCAATATCACAACGTGGGAGAGGTGCAGCTTATAGTTTGGAAAGTAATTTCAAAGATTCCCCCAAAAAGACTACTGTAAAAGTTGTTGATACATTCTGTGTATGAATACATCTCGGTCCTATACTATAGTGAGCCCTGTGAGTCACTATCTGATGCCCTGAGCTGGGAACTGACTCGCTGAGAAAACCAATTTTTCACTTTTCTGTCTGAAAAAGCTGACGAACTTGTTAATAGTTAATTTTTTGTATTATTTCTATTTTTATGGTTTTGAAGTTAGGTACAGTAGCTTTCATGTCATTTCATAGTGGTGCCTGTTATTACCTTTTAATAACATACAATCAATGTTTGTCTTTGTTTATTTTTAAATAAAGGAACAAAAGAGGTTTTGAACAATCTTTAACACTTCCACTCTCAGCCACTAGATGGAGTCTGTGGGTCACTTTCAATATTCCAATAGAAAACCATGATGGTTTAAAATGGGATTAATAAACTTAAATACAAGGTAATGACAAAGAAGAAGAAAATATACAATATTACTTGGACAGTGATAAGACTTGTAAGAAATGCTGAAAATGAAATTTGGAATCAATGACCAACAATAAATTGAAGAAATAAAAATACATACATGACAATTCCCTCCTAATGTTGAGAGGAAATGTAGTCATAATAGGTTTTGTATTTGTCTTCAAATCTTGGACTGCTCCATGTAAACAGAGATCTGGTCACCCTAATTTAGGGGTCTCAAACATGCGGCCCATAGGCCATTTCTGGGCCACAAGAAGGTATTTAGTGGACAGCTGCAGGACATCAAAGTTTAATGTCAGTTTGACCCCCACTGAAATACATAACTACAAACTAGATTGGTTAAATAATTTTTGGGTTAGGAACCGATCTGTGAGTACTGTACGTATAAATATTTATCCACTCATATTCAGGAAATAATTGGTAATTGATTCCTCTTTAGTTTTTCTGTTTTTGTCTTTCTTTTCTACTATAGTTAAAGACGTTTATCTTCTTTAGAGTCAATATTAAAGAATGAGTAAATTGGACAGTTTGAAACATAAGCGTATCCAGGTACAAAGTAAAACAATTAATTTTAGTGGTTTCATTTATGGTGGTTTGTGTCCATTTTATGCACAAACCCAAATGAATAAACCTCCTAAGACCTAGGCCTCAGCCTCACATGGCCCCCAGCTCAATCAACTTTAAGACCACTGCCCTAATGGACGCAACTGTACTTCAAGTTACTCATTCCACAGTATGTTTTTCATTTGTCAATTTCCAAAATGATGCATCAATGTTATGCCAAATAGTCCTCAGCATTAAGTCTGAGTTGTACCAATACATATAAAGTTCACTCTTTGATAAGACACATCACCCATTCTTTTATATTAGTATGTGTGACCTAACATTACAATGAGTCCAACTTGGGCACCAGGCCTGCATCTTTCCAACAGCTCTGTGGAAGATATTACAAGTGCAGATTAATGGCAAATAATCCCCACTACAATACTGGCCTGAGTGTATGACATCATGTCCATAAATTAGGCCAGATTGGTCTATAAGGGAACTTTGTGGGCTGGGTGAAGCAGTGCACTACAGCACTCTACTCTGTGTTTACGGCTACAAGGCTCTCCTCCCAAAAAGCATTCTTTCCAGATTCAGTCAGTGTCCACTCCAGCGTTGTGCAAAATGTCTACGGACAAGCACTGAATCACCGCCTACCTCCTGATGTCATTTCCTCAACTTTCACTTACAATCACAGTGACAAACAGCAATGCCCAAGGCTGCGTATAAACACATGGGTTACGCAAGGTGGAAGTTGTCATGGCAACAGGAGCCAAACAAATATTTAGCCAGAAAAGCAAAATCAACACCTGTTAAACTGCTGCTGTGGCGTGTTGCTACTGCAGCATGTTCTTTTAACTCCAGAGTCAGAGTGAAACCTGATTCACCAGAGCAATGCTGCTCCTTTAAAGGGATGTGACAAGAGCAAAGGTGCAGAATGTTGCTTTACTGTTGGAGGGATTGCACTTTGTTTGTGTCCAGGGATAAGGTTTTGTTCACTGGTTTGCAATGCCCCACAACAGCCGAGCAAAAACGCCATCCAGAACCTATTTCACGATGATTAACATGCACTACTACCATGTTAAATTGTATTAACGTATGTAATGTATATGCAAATACTATGAAGGAGGAATATGTGTAATTACATTCATTGGGGCTTCATACAAACATAAAAAAGGAACATTAGTACAGATAAATAAATAACCACTACACACTGAAATAAACTTACAGTATGTTGCATGAGAAAGTTGTAAGTGATCTGTATTCCATAATTAGACTTTTTTCAGACTCTGCTCACCTGGATACATGCTAGCAGCTGCAAATACAATATTACAATTATTATTATAACAATAGCTCAACGTAAATCCCAAAATATTACATGGAACCCCCAACACACATGTGCGTGGGTGTTTTTTGAACGTATTATTATTATCATGAATCTTTAGTAAGGACACAATACAATACCTACAGTATAAAGGCATGACCTCCAGTAAGTCCATCATGTGGAGGTGAACAGCAGTGAGCAGAACTCGGGGCTGAGCAGACTTTCAACAGTTGCATTATCAAAGTTCCTCAGTCGACACATGAATCTGAACTGAACATTACAAATTGAAGCAGAACAGGAGCAGACGCCATGAAAACAAACATCTCAGTCGCTGCGGAGTCGAGGAACCTTCAGCAGAAGTCTCAAGGAGTCGCTGTAGGGCAGTGAGTTTCTGCAAACTGGATTTTTAAAAACTTTTAAGATTTAAATAAAGTTACCTTTAACTCAGGAGAGCACATACTGAACTTACAGCAGCATATTCCATCCATCCATTTTCTTCCGCTTTATCCGTTGCCGGGTCGCGGGGGCAGCAGTCTAAGCAGAGACTTCCCTATCCACACACACTTCCTCCAGCTCGTCCGGGGGGACCCCAAGGCGTTCCCAGGCCAGCTGGGAGACATAGTCCCTCCAGCGTGTCCTTGGTCTTCCGCGGGGCCTCCTCCCGGTGGGACGTGCCCGGAACACCTCCCCAGGGAGGCGTCCAGGAGGCATCCGGAACAGATGCCCGAGCCACCTCAACTGGTTCCTCTCGACGTGGAGAAGCAGCGGCTCTACTCCGAGCTCCTCCCGTGTGACTGAGCTCCTCACCCTATCTCTAAGGGAGCGCCCAGCCACTCTGCGGAGGAAGCTCATTTCGACCGCTTGTATCCGCGATCTCGTTCTTTCGGTCATTACCCAAAGCTCATGACCATAGGTGAGGGAGGGAACGAAGATTGACCGGTAAATCGAGAGCTTTGCCTTTCGGCTCAGCTCCCTCTTTACCACAACGGTCCGATACAGCGACCGCATCACTGCGCACGCTGCACCGATCCGCCTGTCAATCTCACGCTCCATTCTTCCCTCACTCGTGAACAAGACCCCGAGATACTTGAACTCCTCCACTTGAGGAAGGACCTCTCCACCCACCTGAAGAGGGCAAGGCACCTTTTTCCGGTCGAGCACCATGGCCTCAGATTTGGAGGTGCTGATTCTCATCCCAGCCGCTTCACACTCGGCCGCAAACCGTCCCAGTGCATGCTGCAGGTCCTGGTTCGTTGGAGCCAACAGGACAACATCGTCCGCAAACAGCAGAGATGAAATCCTGTGGTCCCCGAACCGGACCCCCTCCGACCCCTGGCTGCGCCTAGATATTCTGTCCATAAATACAGTGAACAGAACCGGTGACAAAGGGCAGCCCAGTCGGAGGCCAACATTCACCGGGAACAGGTCTGACTTACTGCCGGCAATGCGAACACAGCTCTGGCTCTGGTCGTACAGGGACCGGATGGCCCTCAGCAGAGGACCCCCGACCCCGTACTCCCGGAGAACCCCCCAAAGGACACCCCGGGGAACACAGTCGAACGCCTTCTCCAAATCCACAAAGCACATGTGGACAGGTTGGGCGAACTCCCATGAACCCTCGAGTATCCGATGGAGAGTATAGAGCTGGTCCAGTGTTCCGCGACCGGGACGAAAACCACACTGCTCCTCCTGGATCCGAGATTCGACCATCGGCCGTAGCCTCCTCTCCAGTACCTTGGAGTAAACCTTACCAGGGAGGCTGAGGAGTGTGATCCCACGATAATTGGAACACACCCTCCGGTCCCCCTTCTTGTAGAGAGGGACCACCACCCCGGTCTGCCACTCCATTGGCACCGCCCCCGATCGCCACGCGATGTTGCAGAGACGTGTCAGCCAAGACAGTCCTACAACATCCAGAGACTTTAGATAATCAGGGCGGATCTCATCCACACCCGGAGCCTTGCCACCATGGAGGCTACCAACCACCTTGGTGACCTCAGCCAGGGAGATGGATGTATCCGCCCCAACATCCTCAGCCTCTGCCTCTGAAACAGAGGACGTGACGGGGGGATTGAGGAGAACCTCAAAGTATTCCTTCCACCGCCCGACAATATCCCCCGTCGAGGTCAGCAGCTCTCCACCCGCACCGTACATGGTGTTGGCAAAGAACTGCTTCCCCCTCCTGAGGCGCCGGACGGTTTGCCAGAATTTCTTCGAGGCCGACCGATAGTCATGCTCCATGGACTCTCCGAACTCCTCCCAGTCCCGGGTTTTTGCCTCTGCAACAGCCCGGGCCGCGGCACGCTTGGCCTGCCGGTACTGGACAGCTGCCTCAGGAGTCCCCCGAACCATCATGGCTCGATAGGACTCCTTCTTCAGCCTGACAGCATCCCTTACTGCCGGTGTCCACCACCGGGTTCGGGGATTGCCGCCGGGACCAGCACCAGAGACCTTGCGACCACAGCTACGAGCCGCCGCATCGGCGATTGAGGCAGAGAACATGGTCCACTCGGACTCCATGTCCCCCTCCTCCACCGGGACCTGGGAGAAACTCTCCCGGAGGTGTGAGTTGAAAGTCCGTCTGACAGGGGGCTCAGCGAGACGTTCCCAGCAGACCCTCACTATACGCTTGGGTCTGCCAGGTCTGACCGGCTTCTTCCCCTGCCAGCGGATCCAACTCACGACCAGGTGATCGGTTGACAGCTCCGCCCCTCTCTTTACCCGAGTGTCCGAGACACGCGGTCGAAGGTCAGATGATACGACAACAAAGTGGATCATCGACCTCCGGCCTAGGGTGTCCTGGTGCCACGTGCACTGGTGGACACCCTTGTGCTCGAACATGGTGTTCGTGATGGACAAACTGTGACTGGCACAGAAGTCCAACAACTGAACACCGCTCGGGTTCAGATCAGGGGGGCCGCTCTTCCCGATCACCCCTCTCCAAGTGTCACTGGCGTTTCCCACATGGGCGTTGACGCATTATATTTGATACTATGATCCAAACCATGTTGAGAACACACATTAAAGGTGCAGTAAGCGATGTTGTTAGCTTAGCCGTAGCACCAACTGGAAACCACTCCCCCCTCCCCTTGCCTCTCCACCAAACCAAACATCCAACATTTTCTTTTCTTTGTCACAACAGGGAGAGGGTTAGGGTGGCAAACATGAAATTGGCATTTTCTGTTCAGCAATTTAAGGTTTTAGAAAATCCGATAACTCCGGCGCACTCGCAGGAAACAGGAAGAGGGTTAAGGGGGTAAACCAGTGGGGGAGGGTCCCAGCTCAAAAGTGGCCAAAATGACGTGCGCTGACATGCTTGCAATACCACCCCGGGCCGATGGGGGTGGACCCAGAAGTAGAATTAGCCAATGCTAACATATAGCATTGGCAGACCTCTCAAAAACTTCTTTACAGGATGGTCCAAAAGTTGGCTCTTGGCCCAAAGCTCCGTTCCACATGTGTGTCAATGCTGAGGGGGGTGGATTTTTTTGGTCCACTCTAGTTTACTTGAATTTTTGAAGTCTCTTGTTCAAATGAATGGAGTTGCGCCGGCTGACGCATGTGCAGATACGTTTTTTCACAATTTTCTTGTGGGCAGGACCACTCGCGGCCATTTTGGATAGCTCCAATAGAGCAAATTTTTTGGCCCATTAGTTAGAACGGCGGAGCTAGGTGTGACTCTGTCCATTAATATATACAGTCTATGGGGTAAACGCATCCCATTGGTTTACTTTTATCGGTCCGCTCCAAAATATTTGTCATTAATATTTGGAGACTACAGGCATCTGGTCAATTCTATTATTATTTGAAAACACATAATAACTTGACTACTTTTAGGGTTTAGGGACGTTTTCTCACAATATCTAAAACAAATGCGTCTGGATAAAAATCACTGACTGCATCTTTAAGTTGTTGCTGAAGACCACCAGATCATCTGTGTACATGAGGGGATAATATTTGCTAAAAGACATTAGAAAGAAATACATTGAACTTTGCAATAGTAAAGCGTGTCATACTAATGCATTTAATTCAGAGTTAGTTCCATTACAACATCACATGATTGACATAAACATAAGCAACAGGGAGGCAAGTTATTTGAATACACCGCATTTTCATCTTAGTCTTCATACAAACCCATATAAAATTGTTCCTAATAGATTTGGTTATTTATCATCAATGGCTATAGTGAAGTGATTTGGAAATAAAAAGTTTGCTAAATCCTTGTCCCACCGGGCATGCTCAGATGTCGGCCTTCTTGTTTATGAGCACCGAGCAGCATGTGAGCGCTCCATCCACTTTCATCTTCTCCAAGTTAGACACAGGAATCAGCGTGTAGTCCTTCAACTTCTCAAGCACCTGCGCACACAGAGAAGCTTTTCGGTGAATTTGAGCCGTAATCTTCAATTAGGGTCCGGGACAGTTACGCAACGCAACAAAAAAATAGAAAGAAAAAACGAAAAAAACATCCTTATTTATACTTCCTGTCGTTCGGAAACACAAGAAATTGAAGAACAAGCCTCGCGGTCGCTGGTTGAAATAAAAACAGGGGGGAGCACATTACGACACCCACTAAAGACCCTCGTAAAACGGTGTGTCTACCTCGTGGACATTTTCCAAAAGAAAAGCAGTGTTTTCCAGTCAGCAAACCAAGATACTTTTTCACATTAAAAAGCATTCACTGGGGGGGACGGTGCGCCGGACGTAGGGGGCAACAGCTAAAATAATTGGTTTTGCATGGTGTCAGATGCCGGAGAGGAAAAGAAAAACATTAAAAACAAAAGAAAACATGGACAAACTAAAGCTAATATGTAGTTATTTGCACCCATTTCATCAGACTGAAGCTGGGACTTACCTTTTTTCACAATACATATTTTTTGTTTTTTTTGTTTGATGCGACAGAAAGAGTCTTGTAAAGTAGAATTAATTGAAAATAACTTTGACCACAACATGCTGCATTTATATTATCGGAAAACAATTAAATTCTGTGATGTGACAGAGGAATGCATTCAGTAATTAAACATATTTCAGCCCAGCAGTCTACAATACTGAGCCTTCATTGCTTTTGGTCTAGTTTTGTTTCAATCCAAGCTGCTCTACTAATTTGGTTCATAGAAATATATAGAAAGTAGTTTCCATAACAGTTATTATATAGTAAAAATACCTTCAAGATTGTAAAAAAAGTCACAAAAACAAATGATAAGCTACAGTATAAACTTGATAAACACCCTAGAACAAAAATGCTTAATTTTTGGTTTTCCCAATTTTGTCCTTGTATTCTGTCCTCGTTCTACAGTCCTGGAGCAATAGCCAGTCCATCTGGGAGAGTAGATCCCACCGTCAATGTGGGACTCCCTGAGATTTCTCACTTTTTTCCCCAAGAGGTTATTGAGTCATACTTTGCCGATGCAGAAGATGATGACGGTGATGATTCAGCGACATTTATTATTACCATTTATGGACATAGATCCTCCCTCTCCCTTTGGACCAATGGCTCCTATGTATCTGTTAATATTGTATTTTCTGTGTTTGAACTCAACTGTTTGATTCTCTGATCTGTTGTTGAGGAAATTACAACTTTGTTAAGTCCTACAGAGGTGAAATGAATTGAATAAAGAGAGAAGGTACATAGTGAGCCTAAATATGCAGATACAATGGAATTTAAAACGTAATACTGATATTGTACTACCATCTCTGTGTGGAGTAAGAGACATATGCCCACAATTGTAAAGTACTTTGTGACTCTGGTCTGTGAAAGGTGGTATATAAATAAATATTACTGACTTATTGTAGGTTTAGTGATACACAAACACTTATAATGCACTATTATTTTCAAAATATAAGGTAAGGTAAAGGCTTACGTCAGGAGCAGTGGTCGTCGTAGTAACAGGACCCGAGCTGGAGGATTTTACCTAGTGTGCATGTTTTTAGTGGTTGGGGAAACCGAAGTACCCGTAGGAAACTTACGCAAGCACGGGGAGAACATGCAAACTCCACTCAGAAAGACCCCGTCCCGGCCAGGGACTAACCAAGTCTACCTTTTCTGCTTTTAATATCTTGCTTTTGCATATTTATCCAAAGTGAACAATATTCCTACACTGTCCAGGTGCAGAACTGTTTTGAGAAATGTTCCCAGAGAGACCGCACGATCATAAGACTCACCTCGAGTTTCACTTTTGCATAACTTCCCAAAACAGCACTAAAATCCCTGCTGTTTATAGCATATCCACCGCTAAAGTATCAGTGATTTTTTCATTCCCAGCCGCGTTCTCATTGCTGTGGTTGAAATGTATACTTTGGGATGGTGGGCTGTCATGCTCTTGCACAGTAGGGGCTGCTGTATTTCACTAGATTCTTTGTTCATGTACATTACTCTATTCCCCAACTCAAGTGCAGTCGCCGTGCAGAGCTGACCGCAAAAGATGCCTCCCCTTCCCCTCCTCTCCCCTCCCGTGACCCCCACCTTTGTTATTGTAAGACTGTTATGTAGCTGGTAAAAATAGAGCAAGGATTTAAAAGACAGACAGACTAAAGGTTAGAAGTGCTAGCAAAGTAAGCGGCTATGGCGAGCAAAACGCGAGCCGGCTGTAAAAGTGTTGTCGCAAATCTCATAAACAACAACTTTCAGTTCAAAACAAAATTCAAGGAAAGAATGATGGAAAAATATGTGACAGTGTAACAATCTGAAACGTGTTGTGTATTGTATCTTGTTTAGTGTGATTCATTACAAAATGGATGTTTGTTAATGTGCTGCATTTGATTTAATAAGGTCGATTAGGGGCAGGCACAATAAGATTTGGCTTCAGCCTGTGCCTGCATGCACTAATTTATGTTATTGTGTTTGTATTAAACTGGATTTAAACTGGAACTACTGAATGACCAAACAACAATAAATGAAATGACAACTATTTGAATCCATGAGTTGGATATACAGTAGGCTTTTTTCCTTATTACAAAAACATGTTATATGCCATACAAGTTGACGCCTACACTGACAAAAGTCAAACTTCAATAAGATTAATTTACTAAAGATAACAAGGTTTTGCTTGAATTTAGTTTGTCAGGTAACATTATTTTACTAGCTTTAAGATAAGATTCTTCATAATCTTAATTGAGAAAAAAGTCTGAGAAGTGAGTTTAAAAGTACTTTTTCTTATTTCCAGACAACTTTTCTCATTTCAACTAAGTTTGTTATGCTATATTTAAGGAAAATATTTCTCAAAAAAGTTTAAAAAATAAGTAAATAATTCTTGAAATTCAAGTGCCATCCATCCATCCATTTTCTTCCCCTTAATCCATTTCTGGGTTGTAGGGGGGGTGGCAGTCAGAGCAGCACCCAGTACACTTAGCACCAGACCCTCACTGATCCTCCTGCAGGTGGTGAGTCTACAGAAGGATGGCTGCTCTGTCTGTGATGTCACAGCCTTGATTTTTCAGCGGGGGCTTCAGGCAAAGTCAGGTTAAGTGTCTTGCCCAAGGACACAACGACAGACCTCAGTGGGAGTCGGTGAAATGTAAGTGTTTATACCAAAATCAAGTCATTTGGGGCTAATATTATTTTCAGAAATCTTGAAAAGTCATATTTTCTTGTTCTATTGACACCATTTTTTTCTTACGTTAAGCAGTATTTTTCTCATGTTCATACATGTTTTTCATGGGATTTTTTTCAAGGGATTTTTTCCAGTGTACAGTGTACAGTCTTAAGCCTGTAATTCTATCAGACAGCCTAACTTTGGGTTGCCAGATCCTACGATTAAAAGTGAAGTCATTATCTACATCAATCTAAAATCCTTGTGGCCTACAGTGCAGTAGATAATGAGAGAAATAAAAAGGACCCTCGGGAGCAATGTACCAGTCCCTGTACTCCACAAGATCAATGCCACGGTGATCAAACTGTCCATGTAGTCTTCAAGCACTGTATGTCCTCATTTTTCCTTTGCTAAAAACTTCCCAAATACACACTCGAGCCAATATCTGGTGGGTCTGATTATAGGAAGAAGACTAAAATATGAAACTTCATCCTGGGTCCAAGTGGTCTGTGAAAGACATGCAACCAAGGCAGGAAGCATGAGATACCAAAATAGATTTTTTAGTACGGTGGCTGAAATTCCCTCTGTTAATCTTCCAGGAAAAAGAAATCTTCACTGTAGATGTCCAAGGATGCATAATTTGGTGCATTCTTCCTTCTAAAAATAACAGTGGGAGGTTGGGGTTGGCACCACAAAGTACATTTTGAGGTCGGAGCACTGTCTCTGCGCATTGTACCCTGTTCACTTTGATTCAGAGAGACTGGTTTTGAGGGAGCTCACCAACAACAAAGCTGTTTCACTGAATAAGTCAAAGTCAAAGTGGACCCCTGGCTGCAGCTGTGTGAAAGATACAGAAGTTAATCACAGCATCAGTCAAAGAACTCGAATGGTGCACGGTGCAACTTTTCTTATCGCTACATAGTTTGTGGATGGCTGTGAACTTTTATCCTGCACTTTTCATACATTAAACTACAGCTTAAAGGGATAATTTAATTTAATAATTTTTACATTTTGGACCGGATAATATATTCTTGTACAATTGGACAGGACCAAAACCATGATCTACACCCTGGGTCAGTGAGCACATTATGTTCGTCTAATATTTTGGTTTTGGTTTATTACTTTATGTTCAGTCTTTGATCAGGATATAACCAGAATAAATTGTGTTATCCAATCTAAAAAGCTAAAGAAGAACTGCGTATACAGCAAACTTTTGCAAAACCAACCAGAACAATCTGGTTTCTCAATGAAGTTAGGAGCTAAAACACTCATTTTACCCTCGGCCTGGCTTCCAAGCTTGCGGTCTGAGTCATTATCCAGAAAGCGGCCATTGCACATCTACGAGCAGGATCTGTTGTTAAAATAACAGCGTAGCAAAAAGGCCACGCTACAGTGAAGTCAAACACAACTTAAGACAATCGTTTGACTCAAAGACCGGTGCAAAAGAACGTACTGTAACAAATGGGATAAAACTTTTACCACAGGTAGCTCCTCAGAAGGGGAGATGGATGTTGCGTGAGAGATACAGTTTCTGTGGTCTGCTTGGAAAGGTACCTTGACACTCTCTGGAAACATGTCTGCAGTGGAGTGGAGCAGCACGTGGCCTTTATCGGGCAGGTTCATGTAGATGCAGTTGGCGGCCAGGTCGTCAGGCACGGTCAGCTTGTCGTAGCGGTGGTCACTCATTTGTTGCATTATCTGGACACAAAACAGACAGAAGAATCCATCGAATGAAAACTATACTTTGTGATTGCCTTCGAAAAGCAGCATTTTGCGCCGATTACTTTTCTTTTTCTCTGGGATGATTTTAAAAAGCTATGTGTGATAATTACTGTGTGTCAGAAGACTATAAGTGATAACATGAATTGAGAATTTGAGAAAAGATTACAATGTTGACGGCATGTTAGAATTTAGCAACAGTTGACAAGCCACTATTTTGAAAAAAATAAATGCATTCATGATTATATTTTTGGGAATACTCCAATAATATTTAACATGTCTTTGTTGATTATACAGGTATAAATATCATTAGAGGATAGGACGGTACTTTTTTTTGTCAAAAAAAGTCAAAAAATAATTCCACTTACCAACAGTCTATTATATCAATACTTGAACATTTAAATGTATTTGTATCTACAATTGAAATATATAGATAGGGACAATATGCTTCAAGATCATATGAAAAAAATAGTTGTTAAGATGACAAAATAATAATGAATAATAATTAGACACATTAGACTGCTGTTGTGATTTAGGGCAATACAAAAATAAATTGAATTTGACTGAACACACTGTATTGATGGATAGGTGAATAGCTTCACATATTAGATAAGAGTAAGTCATAGAAATGGCCTTTCTGTGTGGGTTTGCATGTTCTCCCTGTGTCTGTGTATAAGGTTTATCCCTGGTGCTCCCGTTTCCCCAACCACTAAACACATGTGCGATAGTTCAGGGTGAATTAGTGTGTGTTTGTGAATGCGACTGGGTAAACGGATGGAAATTAGCCCATAGCTACAATCCAGAGAGGGGCTTTCATTAGCTTGCACTGTCCCAACCAAATAAACAATAAATAAATCAAATATATAGAGATAAAATCAAATCCAGGCCATGCCAGGAACATGGGGGGTCCTGATGGAATAGCCAGCCCTTCGTCTTCTTCTGCAGGTGTCATGCTATTTATGTAATTGGACGGAGGAGAAGGTGGGATTTAGGCCCAAAGGGAAGTCAGGGGTGAGGATGTTATGACCAGAGGAGACGCAGAACATCTGTGGACGGATACCTCCGAGACGAGAACGGGAAGGCTGGAAAGTGTGGCTTTAAAAAAATCCAAAGAGTCAACATTCTCAGATGGTATTTGAGGAGGGACACCGTGCACCAGATTTTGTTGGCATGTGTCAGATGGCTTCCTGTCCTCCTATAAAATTACACGAAAAAACAGCAAAGAATCAGGGTTTGAAGGTTCACTAAAGTCTGTACGCATGTCTGTGGGACAAATGCAGGGTCTCATCCCTCTCATATGGAAACGTTGCACATAAAACATAAAAATGTCACATCACATATGACTTTTGTATGATGTTTGTATGATCATCTCCTGAAAGTGGCACCTTTTGCACATCTTTCATATATGGCAATAAAGAGTGGTTTATGTTGTTAATAAAAAATGTGTACAGTCTTTGTATAGTTTTCAGTTTTACAATATGTAATCAATATAAAAACTGTATGTCATACATATATGGATAATAGGGGTGGGAAACTAAGGGTACCTCACGATACGATACGATACAAAGCTCACGATAACGATAATATCACGATAACAATATCACGATATGACGATTATTGATATATTGGTCAGAAATATACAATATGCCAATTTATGGCATAAATAAAAGAAAAATTACTCTTCATTTCATGATAAATAGAATGGAGATGCGTAATGTAGCCATATATTAAGTATTGATACCAATTTTTTTTTTTAAGAATTGTAAAAAAAAAAAAAAAAAAAAAAAAAAAAAAAATGCTATTTATTTTTATTTATTTTTCAAAATCGATATCGATACTTGGTAAATGCATATCGATAATCGAATCGCGGGAGAAAGTATCGTCATATATCGAAAAAACGATATATCGTCACACCCCTAATGGATAACGTGTGTATTAGTGTAATAAGTATGTAATAACAGTTCTTTCACTTGTATTATCACTTTGTGCATTAACACTTTTGGTACTTTTGTATTATTTGCAGTTCTACAAGTGTATTTCCTATCTTTTATATCAGGACATTAATGCAATGTGTAGAATTGAGAACAGCAGTGTATTCAATACATTTTACCATCACATACTAGTTTTAATCGTTATACAGAATATAGGCCTAAAGTGAAAATTTAAACTTGTTTATTTAGACTTGTGTTTTCTCTTCAGTGTTAGTTATAAAATGCAGACAATTATAAAAAAAATCTACATGCTTTTCCAAATACAATTCCATGTAATAAAATATAAAAATATATAAAAAACTTTGTGTTGATTTGTCAAAGCATCATCTATGATACTCAAACAAATCTTACATTCCTTTTATAAAATGTTTAAACAAGGTGTCCACAATGGAATTGACTGATGTTGACTGTTGTTTATTTAGTTTACGCATTACCCTAACCCTAACCCACACTTCAAGCAAGTCCGATAAAACGTATATAAAATATTTGTACATCTTTTGCATACGAGCTGTGAGCTAAAGATGACACAACAATGTATTTAAAGGAAATCTGTTTAGCACAATGGACTGTCAGTGTTTTCAATAAACCTCCCACAAAACGTTGGGTTTTCTTCAGAAAGAAAACCCTGGGAGTCTGATGTGAGCGGGAAGGACTGTTCTGGGCAACACATGTTCTATGTTGAACACGCAATGTGCTGGGAAATCTATCAATATTCAAACAATTATATTCCAGTATCTGAAACGTGAAAGACCAAAAAACAAACCTAAAGGTAAAAAACACAAAAAAAGGCATATCAGCTAAAACAGAAATTCATTATTTAGGAATAATCAACTTAAAAAGAGCAATATGTAACAATCTGGCCAAAAGTGGTACTGCAACCTCTCCCTCAGGTTGCCAGATATGCAGACGAATCCAGCTGGAACCATAATATCTGAAAAGACAAGAGTTTTGTCAACAACAAATCTACAACCAACAAAGGGATAAAAATGAAGGAATGAAATGAATGAATGATTTGAGAATCATAACGAGGCCGTTTTTTATAACTGCGGCCACATGTAACTTTACCAGTGAGATTAGCTAGACACTGAGTTCTGACAACCTGGATCACAGACTTTCTGATTGGTAAAATCGCGGAGGGCAGGACATCGAATCATCGACATGATTAATTGATTAATTGGTCCCTCAACGCAATTGATTCTATCTTTTCAACACGTAAGCGTGGGTCTGGAGAGCCCGTGTGCCCGGACGGGACTTCACCGGCGGGGTATACTCTTGACAGCTGGAACAAGTTTCAGTCCCTCTGTCTGTCGACCCTGTCCATTGAAGATTCGGAAGACGTATATATCTTTGGCATTTTGGTGGGGGGAATCCTCCTGTTTGGGTTTGGAGCGATCCTGTTCTACCACAAATTCGGTGGCATGGCAGTTCGCAAGATTCACGACCTGCTGGCCGACAAAATTGATGGGATGTACAAGGAGCTAAGCCGTGTCGTGGTTGAGAGTGCCGTGTCTGGACAACGGAGAGTGGTGTTGGTGGAACAGTTGATCAAAGATCTCGCAGCTCGTTCACTCGATGGGCATAAAACTCTGGAATTGAGATTGAATGACATTGTTTGTCAGGCTTGAACTCTCTGACCCGGCTTGGATTTGCCCCTGTGTACGGGGTCTGAGGGCGCCGTAATTCGGTTTAATTGGAATTAATAGAATATCTGCCTGCTTTTGATGCTACATTGCATATAATATTGTCCCTCTCAGGCGATGTGTTTTTCTCCTGCTGTGTCTTCTCTCCACTCTTATCTCACATTCCTTGACCAAGGCCATAAACAAGGTCCCACAATCTACAACAACTCACACTATTTCAGTCTCCAGCAAGGATCCCTCACCCCCGCCTCCCTCTACCTATCCATCTTGCTCCCTCCCTCCCCTCCATTCCTTATTTTCCTACTCACCCCCTCCCTGATCCCGCCCCCCTCTGACAGCTACATTGGGCCGGCCGCCGGAGGTGCTCATCCCGAGAAAAAAATCCGTGGTTTATAAAAAGCACAATGTGTCTATCCAATTGTCTGTGAACTGTATGTTATTGCTCTCTGCTGTTTCTTGCTGCACACAGCGCCGCAAATGGCGAAGTGGCACACTCTCTGCCAAGACAATTTCCAAGTGATAACTTTGTTACTCACGTGGCAATAAAAATGATTCTGATTCTGATTCTGATTCTGAAATTAAAACAAGATTTAGGGGCTGTAAATCCAATCTTAAAATTAGAATATCTTGGCTGAACTATGTTTTCAGTTAAACAAGTATTCAAAAAGAGCATGGTTTATTAATGCATTTTGACTAGACATGAAAATCTTACAAACTTCTAATTAAAGTGGTTCTCACCCCCGCTCCTCGGAGCTTACGTTACTCACATTTCCTGTTCAAATCTTCCTCTAAATGGGCGTAGCCTGGAGGACTGAAGGGGGCGTGAACGAGACTGGGCCGTTTACATTGCTCTGGGTGGGGGGCTGCTGACGTCAGGTCCAACTTGCAGACGTCAGGTCCAACTTCTGTGCCAGTGTTGGCGCCAGATTTAAAATTCAAATGTAGTAATACAGGTCGCCAGCAGATGGCGCCTCACAGACGGTTTTAGGCAGAAAGTCTAACTTTCAACAAATTTGCACCAAAGTGACAAGATTATGACCAGGATATGTAGACAACACTATTGGACACTCATTTATACCGTTTATCAGCAAAAAAAAGTGGATTTGAGGGTGAGTTGTCCTTTAAGTTTGTCCATAAAAACTTCTTGGTAGTGTGAATGCATGTATGCTGTGGTCAGTTGAAAATAAGAAAAGTCAACAAAAGCCATAATTCTCTGTAAGCGGACAGTGAGAAAGCGGGCTTCCAACCCTTTGTTGCCAGGTTGCCGAAAAACTAATTCAGAAGAAGGAGCAGGGTCAGGGCCGGAGTGGGACAACATTTCAGGCCGGGAGCTTTTCATCCATTCAGG